TTACAATGGTATAGCTTCCGTTGGAATGATTCCAACGTAAAATTCCAACCAAAATATTCTATTAGAATGTGTTATTCATTGAAATTTTAGATAAAATTTGATGATTCCAACGGCTTTTTACAGTAGAAATTTCCATTGGAATATACAATTTTCGTTGAAATTTTTATTTCCGTCCCTATTGGAAAATTTACCGTTGGAATCGGTAAAATCCAACGGAAAATCCAATGGAAAACCCATTCCAATGATATATTTTTGTTAGAATTTCTATTGGAATCCGTTGAAAAATTCAAACGAAAATAATAGTATTGAAAAATATCCATTGGAATTTTATTTGAATATATTTATGTTGGAATTTCATCATTTTTTCTTGTAGTGCGTAATAGACAATTTTTTGAATTTTAAAAAAGTCAATGTGTAAAATATCCTAAGAGAATATACAATGGGATGTAGTTAGGAGAAGATAATTAGGTAGGATATACATTAATTAGTGTGGAGAGATCAATAAGAAAACTAATATCTTATCAAAAAAGATATTTTTCATAGTTGTAAATTTATCCATACCCTTTCAACGAATCTCGGCTAATTCGCACGATTAAATAAGTTCACAATTTGAGTTAACATACTTTTTTATCGAAAATCTAACTAACCATAAAATTGTTTACGCTGAATGAGGTTTTTGAGCATCTTCAATGTTCTAATGTTGTTGTAGGATAAATTTTGATAAATGTCAAAAAATTAAATAGATTGTGAACCATGTAGGACAAATGTTGAGTTCACAACTATTAAATTAAAAAATCATCTTCAATGCACAATGTAGTCTAATTACAATTTTATCTACTTACCAAATATTAAAATTTTAGTACGAATTATAAAATTAATTAAATAATTAAATAATTTAAAAATTGTAATAATAATTATCTCTCTTCTCGTCATTGGCTAGTTAAAGTGTGGAGGAAAATATGGGTTAACCACATTCTTTCTCCATATCAACTACAACATGTATCTCTTCAACATATTGTGCATATTAATTTTTGGCAAAAAGTTAGTAGTTTTTCAAGCTTACAACTAGGAGTATCAGCCTTATTATGGTGACCATCACACCTACAAATAGCCATTTCTCAGCGGCAAGACCCTATGCATGCGATTAACTGGGATTGTTTTTTTATTTTTTAAACTAAATAAGACTGATTAATTAAGTTATGTATTGTTGTAGCCTAATTTATTATTTTATTTAATTAATTTAAGTACTTCTCTGGCTAATATTTAATTAAGATTACTTAAATAACCTTGCTTTTATTTTAAAATTTAAACTAACCGAACCGATACCGAACCAATATAAGTTCGGTAACTGATAATCAGTTACCCGGAAAAAATTCAAAAAAGTCCCACAACTATAGGAGGGGTGACAATTTTGATCCCAACGGAATGCAGAAAATATGAATAGTCCCACAACTTTTAAAAAATGATCAAAAGTAGGACTTCTTTTGCCGGATTTTCTATTTCTGGCCCGGAACGCCACGTCGCGTACATGTGGCTTATTTTTTTACACGCTAGGTTATTTTTTTACACACTGGCATGCGATGTGTTCATATTTTTTTTACAAACTGTGGAACAATTCATATTTTCTGCATTCCGTTATGACCAAACATGTCACCCCCCTTATACCTGTGGGGCTAGTTTTGAATTTTTTCCTATCCACGTCGGATGTCAGCGTGTCAAAAAATAAGCCACATGTGCGCGATGTAGCATTCCGGCCGGAAATAGCAAATCCAGCACAAAAAGTCATACTTTTGATCATTTTTTAAAAGCTGTAGGACTATTCATATTTTCTGCATTCCGTCGGGACCAAAATTGTCACTCCCTTATACTTGTGGGACTAGTTTTGAATTTTTCCCTCAGTTACCCTTAAAAACCAGTCAGTTTGATTTGATTTATTTTCTCGTCGGTTCGGCTTTCAGTTTTAGGTAAAATAATACCAGTCTTACTAAATCTAAAACACTTGAAGATAGATTTCATAAGAGAGTACATATTTCAGGTGTAAAGGATGAAAAAGGCTCTATCTGGACCAAAAAAAACCATTGAATTTGAAGAAGCTATTTTAATTACCCATTGCATTCCTAAGGAAAACTTTATCTTTAGCTCGTTGTTCATGGCTCCAAGCTCGCGCTCCTGCAAAACCATTACACCCATATTCGTTAATTATTATTATTATTATTATTATTATTATTATTATTATTATTATGTGAGCTTATAAAGTTCAGTTGCTATAAAAATTATACCTGACAGTTGCTATTGAATAATGGTTAGACAAATTAATCAGAATTACAACTTCTCATAATTTAAACTAGTGCAGTACTCGTGCGATGCACAGACTAATTTTATTAAAGTAAGCATTTAGATTTAGATGATTGAAAGAACATAAAATGTATGTACTAGAATAAAACAAAATGCAATTTATATATTATTAAATCTTTTACACAATATCATTTGTTTGGTCTTTTGCTACATCGTCTATCGCCACAAATTATATTAGGATTATAGAATGCACTTAATGAATAAATCAATTAAATTATTTAGTAGGATATGTATGATATGACGATTTATACTGCTTTTATAAAGATTACATAGCAAAATCAGAGATTGTAAAACGTCTCTTTCTTGATAATCTATAGCCTATTATTTTAAAATTGTAAATTACTTAATTTAAGGGAGGGAAAAATTGTGTAAGTGTATGCAATCAATTTCAAATTTGTATTCTAGAGGATTAAACAAAACTCAAATTTTTAGAATGTTCCAATCCGATTCATTTTAAATTTCAAATAATATTGTACTTTATGTTTGAAAAAAATCTGAACTAAAGAAAGTAGTAGCCAAATGATAAGGTATTTTTAAATTTTAATTTCAAATTTGAAATTGGGCCCAATTTCTATGCAATCCGATTTTTTTTAATAAACATGATCTATCGCAATTTGGTAAAAGAACATTTATAGTATTTTTCCTAATTCGAAATTCCCGATTTTATGGTAAACATATTTTTTTTAATAAGAAATGAGAGAATTTTGACTTTTGCAAAATTGTCATGCCGAATTTTACCTAAATTAACCTGATTTCTATGCAATCCAATATTTTTTAATAAAAAATTGATCTGTTGCAATTAGGAAAGAGATATGTGATAGTATTTTGCCTAATTCAAAATTTCTGATTTTATAGTCATCAGTTTTTTTTAATAAAAAAATGAGAAAAAATTTTGACTTTTGCAAAATTGTAAGAATCGGTCAAAATTTACCTAAATTAAATCCACAAAACCCATGAATTTATGATGCATATATAGCTGATCATTTTTTTGTGAATAATTTAAAAAGAAAATTCAAAAACTGCCAACAATAGAATGCAGTAATTGTGGGGTGACTTTTTTTGTTACAATTTTTGGTAAATAGGTTGGCTATATATATATATATAATTATATATATATATATATTATAATAATATATATAACAATATAGTAATTATATTATATAATAATATAATATAATATATATATATATATTATATATTATATAATAATATAATATATAGATTATATTATAATATATATATATAATATAATCTATATATATATATATAGATTATATTATATATATATATATAATATATATATATATATAGATTATTTCCATGCGAATCTTGTCATTTCCATAGGGGGATCATATTAATGTAATTAGTTAATCTATTTTGCCAAATTTCGTTTAATTTACTTATCGAATTACGTATAAGATTTGGATTGTTGATTTCGATTATTATAATGAAAAGAGTAATAAATATTTGTTATGCGTATGTTTGGTAACTCAATCAGTGTGGTAGATTCGTTTGGTAGAAATTCTCTCACCGAAGAGCTTCATTCTCTCGCCGGAGAGTTTCATCCCATCGTAGGAGGGGTTCTTTTCCGTCATATGGAGGGACTCCATCTTTGCTCTTTCTCAGCCGGATTTCTTTTTGCTCGTTATTTTCTCTCAATTTCTAGGGTTTCATTTTGGGGCTTCTCTTTTGTGGTCGGCCTATCACTCTCTATGAGTTCACCAGAGGACATTATAAGATGGCTCAGAGCCTTCTTGCTCTCTAAGAAGGAAACTTATATCATTGATGTGGGTGAGGACAACATCCAGGCCAGCGAGGCAGAGTACGATACAAGCCTCTTCGGTAAAGTAATAGGAGATAAACAAGCTAGTTTGGTGGGAATCAAGAAAGCATTGGGCTTCATTTGGAAAATTCAGAGCTCTATAGAGGTCCGAGAACTTAGAATCAATTTCTTCGAATTTATCTTGCCAACAAAGAGGATATGAAGAAGGTTGCTAGCGGTATTAACTGGTTATTCGAGAACCAATATCTGATCCTTCAGCATTGGAAGGAAGGTATGTCTGCCAACAATGAAGGTTTTAATTATCTAAAGTTACGGGTCCAAGTTCATAACGTCCCATTGAATTGCATAACGGCGGAGGTGGGTCTCAAAGTGGGGAGAATCTTCAAAGATGTCTCAAATGCTCTGGTGGTTAACTCTGCAAGTCAAGGGGGCTGGTTCATCAAACTATTGGCGACGATCAATCTTTCCGAGGCCCTCCCTTGGTGTGCTAGTATAAGGCTAGGAGAACAACAAGTCATAGTCAAATTCAAATATGAAAGACTTGTTAATCTTTGTTTTTATTGTGGTAAGGTGGGCCATATTGAGAGAGTTTGCTCATCCATGGTGGAAGACATAGCCAGAAATGAGCTTAAGGAAGAACAATTTGGAGAATGGCTACGAGCTTGGGATTCTACCATTGGCACCAACTGGAATAACTAAAGTTCCTCTCCAGGACAACCTAAAGCCACTTCTTCAACCCAAGTGATGTTCAACCAGCTATTGGGGACTCAGGCACCCCATCAAAATCCTCTTCCTCTCGTCACTCGGGGGTTTCTAAGGACACCATTAGTATATAAATGCTCAGCAGGCTTTAATTCATAGAATGGAAAAGGCAGGCCCTTCTGTTGCATCTATAGAGCCTAATCATCTTCAAAGGGAGATATCTACAGGACTTCTTCACAATAAATCAGATCACCACACTCAACCCTCTGATTTAGTTATGGTGGACTTTACAACTCAGCTGGGTTTACCAGTGCAAGTGATTACTGAAGAAAAAATCATCACCAAAGGTTTAGTAGGACAAGAGGAATCAGAAGGACATTTGTTACCATTGATTGCTCATTCTCTAGAGTCCCAGCCTAGCTCCTCTACAAAAAGGACAAGGAAAAGATCTTCTAAATCTGAGGGTAGACTCCAAAGGAAAGCCAACGCCTCTACTTTGACTATTCTTGCTACAGCCAAGAGGGGTAGAGAAGATCAGAGTGAACTGAAAGCAGTTGAAGAGACTACTATTCAAACATGTGGCAGAGGTAAGAAACCAAAACTTTTCTTAGAAAAGGTAGAAAGGGCCAACCCCAATGGGCCCTTGGAGGACCAATAAATGCTCTGGTGTGGAATTGTAGAGGTCTAGATGGGTCCTCTACAGTTCCTCAGCTTAAGGATGCCATAAGGTGCCACTACCCAAATTTCGTTTTTCTCTCTGAAGTTAAGAAAAAAAAAAAAAAAAGTTCACTCTATCAATTTGTAATAAGTCTCGTTTTGGTTCTAGAAGTTATATTGTGGAGCTCAGAGGTAGTGGTGGTGGTCTTTTGCTGTTATGGGGTAATAAAGTTCAGATTATAACTATGTATTGTTCATATTTCTTCATTGTTGTCAATTTCATCCCCAGCTCTGGGACAAATGCTTGTTGGTCTGTTTTTGTGTATGTAAGTGCTTCGAAACTAGAAAGGGAACTTCAGTGGGAAACTCTTCTCTGTGAGTAAGATCTTAGGGTAGTCTTCAATGGGGACTTCAATGGACACAACTGGTTCATCTCAGGTGATGGGAAGGATCTCCTATTATCCTCAAACAAAAAAGGCGGTACAGCAAGATCTGAGGGCAGTCTATCTGGGTTTAGAACCTTTGTGGCAAACATGGAATGCCGGAAGTATTTTTCAAGGGCTAACAATTTCCTTAGGGTGTCTGGCTTCCTTCTCTAATTCTCATGTTACCAGTCTGTTTAGGAGTTCTTCTGACCACTATATTCTAATCCTCCCATCAGATTCCCACTCTCAACCTTGTAACAAACGGTTCCAGTTTGACAGGAGGTGGCTAAACAAGAGGGGTTGCAGGAGGTTATTATAGAAGCTCGCTATTTTGATCCTGGTGGTACACCAATATTCACAGTCAAAAAGAAAATAAAAAAAGGCTAGAGTGGCACTCTTAACCTGGAGTAGACATTTCAAAGCCATAAGAAAAAATAACATATCAAATCGTACCTTAAGCTTGGAAAAAATGAGGAAAGAATGAGGAGAAAGAAATTGGTTAAAATGAGATAGACTCAAAAAGAAGCTAGATGATGCCTTATGCTCTGATGAGATATTTTGGAAACAAAAAGCTCGAGCTCTCTGGCTGAAGGAAGGAGACAAGACCTCCAAATTCTTCCATGCCTACACTCTCCAGTGAAGGAAGACCAATGCTATTGACAGACTACTCAATAAAAACAATGTGCTCTATGAAGATCAGAAGGAAATTGAGAGAATAATCACTTAGTACTATTCCAATCTCTACACCTTTCAGGGCTCATCCCATTGACACACTCTGTTGCCCCTCATTCCAACTAATATCATTGACAGCATAATGAAAAGTTGTTCTCTCTTATTCTTGAAGCTGACATTAAAAAATCACTTTTCAGTATGCACCCTGACAAATCCCCAGGAGAAGATGGCATGCCATCTCTTTTTTATCAACACTTCTGTCCAATTGTCAAGGAGGATATATGCTCAGCTGTTCAGAGGTTCTATGCCACAGGATAGATGCTTAGTTATTGAAAGCAGACTCTCATTAATCTTGTGCCTAATTGTCAGAACCCCACTTCCCTCTCTCATTTCAGGCTAATTAGTTTATGTGCAGTCTTTTACGAGATCATTTCAAAAATTATTGTTTTGAGATTGAAGAACTGTCTGTCTCTCTGTATTTCTGAAACCCAAGCAGCCTTTCTTCCTGGCAGAAATTGCTTGACAATGTAGTTATTGCCCATGAGGCATTTCAATTCCTCAATAGACACAGAGATGGGAAAAATTGTTTTATGAATTTGAAACTGGATATGGTTAAAGATTTTGACAGGCTTGAATGCAAATGTATCCAGCTGACTATGGTGAAAATGGGTTTCCACCCAACTTTTTTTAAGTGGGTTATGGCTTGTATAGTTTTCCCCTCATTCTCTTTCAATCTTAAAGGTCAGGCTTCTGGTTATATCACATCCACTAGAGAAGTTAGACAAGGGGATCCTCTATCCCCCTATCTCTTTATTTAATATCTGAATTGTTAACTGCAAGGCTATTATCCGAGGCTTAAAGGGGTGGTTTTAAAGGGCTAAAGCTAGCTAGGGAAGGACTTGAGATCTCACATCTCTTATTATTGATTACATGTTGATATTCTGTAAAGCTGAGGCTTTCCAAGCTCAGAAACTCCTACACATCTTGCATGATTACTATCTTTTTACTGAGCAACAGGTAAACCTGGAGAAGTCCTCCATCCTTTTTAGTAAGAACACCTCTCAGAAGGTTCAACATCTGTGTTGCCAGACTCTGAATGGTATTAAGCTGCATTCCTCTTCTAGATATTTAGGCTTGCCATTGGGTATTGGAAGATTTATAAGAGATGCTTTTTCTTATGTCCTCTCTGTGGTAAAAAACAGAATCCCCAAACAGGGCCCTGTAGAAATTAAATGCAGCTAGTGAAAGCATAGGTCAGGGGTTACTCTCTACCGCAAGTAAACACGAGTGGTGCGATTGGTAGGTCTTAATTATCTGGTTGAGGAAGCACTCCAGTGAAAGAAATACGTATTCTTTCTTTCCTGTTGCCATGGAAGCTGGAAGAATAAGTGGCTTTCCCCTGCTGGGAAAGAGGTTTTAATTAAATCTATTGTCGATGCCCTCCCTGTGTTTACTATGTCTTGCTTTATGCTTCCTGAAAGTCTCTGCATAGATATTGCTAGTGTTTGTGCAGGTTTCTGGTGGAGCAAGGGGGAGAATTTCGACAGAGGGATTCATTGGAAAGCCTGGGATCACATGGCTCTTCCAAAATCTTATGGTGGTTTGGGCTTCCAGGACATCCAGCTTTTTAATGAAGCTATTATTGCTAAGTAAATTCGGAGACTTCTGATCCAGCCTGATCTTCTGGTAAACAGGGTTCTCAAATCTAGATATTTCTCATAATCCACTGCTTTTGTTGCTTAGAGGAAAAATAATGCCTCATGTCTCTGGCATAGTTGGCTGAAAGTAAAAGATTGTTGTGGAAAATAGATGTTGTGTGTGATTAGGAATGGAAATGGGAATAGAATTGTCGATGATGTCTGGGTCCTTGATTTGAATGGTAGAGACTATCTTTTATACCTAATGCTGAATCAAATTTGGTGTGGGTTAAGGATCTTCTTTTGCCTGATAGCAGTGATTGGAACGTCAACATCCTTAGGCAAAGTTTCTCAACAGAAGATTGTTCAACTGTCATGAAAATCTCCACCATTAACCCTAAATTTGATGACAAATGGAAAGGGAAACTTCTCAATATCCAATGTCTACTCTCATCTCACTCAACAGAAGCTTCTCAGCATGAACAAAGCTCAAAACAATGGGTCTTTTATCCAGGATCAGCAGGTGAGGACCAGATTCTGGAGGCTCAAAGTTAAAGGTAAGATAAAACATTTTCTATGGAAATGGGTATCTGGCATTTTACCTGTTGGAGTGAACTTGCTTCAAAAAGGCCTTGATATTGATCATATCTATAAAGTATGTGGGCTGGCCGAGGAAACAATAGAACATTTTATGTTCTTCTGTTCTAAGGCAAAGCTAGTCTGGAAGTTGGCCCCAGTGCAATGGGAAGGACCTAAAGGTTTAGACACAGTGAAAGATTGGTGGTGGCACATTTCAGCTCTTAACCATAGGGATATTTCTGAAGCCAGAATTCAACTTTCCACTTATATCCTATGGTGGCTTTGGAAATCCCGTAATCTTATGGTGTTTGAGGGTACTTCAATGCCGACCCACCTCATAGTTGTTGCTGCATTCAATGAATGGACAAAATATGAGGACGTTCACCGGCTTTCATGCTTGGAGAAAAGGAGACAATAATGAAGATGGTCTAGGGTCTATGATCAGTGGAAGTCTTGTTATTGCTTTCCTTCTCTTTTTTCTCTTGTATTGATTCTGGGTACTTAAGTTTCAGTTGTTGTTATAACTGCTTGAGTCCCCTTTGGTTTGTAGTTGTATTTTTAGGCCACCTTTGAGTGGTTCTATCCTATTTTGGCTTCATATGGTCTGCATTGTATTCAAAGTTCGGTTGGGTATTTTAACGAGAATTTCTATCATTTCAACAAAAAAAATAAAAAATAAAAAAAAATCAGTGTGGTAGTATGACAAGTGGTGATATTATGTAATTGGGATATCAATCAAGTATTTTGAATAACCATATATATTCATCTATTCTATATCTATCTATCTATATAATAAAAGTAGAAATTATTATATAAAAAAATACACAAACTAAAATGTTCTTATGTTTATAATATTTTTAATGGCAAACTGTAATAACAATTAAGTATGTCAATGAATTATAATCTCAATTATCTCGTAACAAAAACAAAACACTTTCAATAAAATGTAAACAAAAATATTGCTATTACACAAAAAGTCAAGCAAAATGGCCACGCTCTAAATTTCTTTGGATATGCCCTGATTTCTCGAAAATTCATCTCTATCAAATTCCGTAGCGAATTGTACATTTGAAGTTTGCTTAGAGTATGAGGATCTCTGGTGAAGTACATTAAGGACTCTATATATATCCTTCTCCCAGATTGCAGCCCTCCAAGTGTTCGACAGATTGTCCGAAAGGCTGCATCTAGCCATGATTCGTGAATGGCCTCTCGGCGACCTGGATTACCTCCTTAGCCTGCCGGCGACACAAATTTCCACCAGACAACAGCCTCTCTTCCTACCGGCGACCAAACTTCCGACGGTCCGAGTGATTTCGCACCTAACGTCGAGGGCAGTCTATCTGGGTTTAGAACCTTTGTGGCAAACATGGAGTGCCGGAAGTATTTTTCAAGGGCCAACAATTTCCTTAGGGTGGCTGGCTTCCTTCTCTGATTCTCATGTTACCAGTATGTTTAGGAGTTCTTCGGACTATATACTATTCCTCTCATCAGATTCCCACTCTCAACCTTGTAACAAACGGTTCCAGTTTGACAGGAGGTGGCTAAAACAAGAGGGGTTGAAGGAGGTTATTAGAGAAGCTTGCGATTCTAATCCTGGTGGTACACCAATGTTCACAGTCAAAGATAAAATAAAAAAAGGCTAGAGTGGCACTCCTAACCTGGAGTAGACATTTCAAAGCTGTAAGCAAAAATAACATATCAAACCATACCTTAAGCTTAGAAGAATGAGGAAAGAAGGAGGAGAAAGAAATTGGGTAAAATGGGATAGACTCAAAAAAGAGCTAGATGATGTCTTATGCTCTGAAGAGATATTTTGGCAACAAAAAGCTCGAGCTCTCTGGCTGAAGGAAGAAGACAAGACCTCCAAATTCTTCCATGCCTACACTCTCCAGTGAAGGAAGACCAATGCTATTGACAGACTACTCAATGAAAACAATGTGCTCTATGAAGATCGGAAGGAAATCGAGAGAATAATCACTTAGTACTATTCCAATCTCTATACCTCTCAGGGCTCATCCCATGGACACACTCTGTTGCCCCTCATTCCAACCAGTATCATTGACAGCATAAATGAAAAGTTGTTCTCTCCTATTCTTGAAGCTGACATTAAAAAATCACTTTTCAGTATGCACCCTAACAAATCCCCAGGAGAAGATGGCATGCCATCTCTTTTTTATCAACACTTCTGTCCAATTGTCAAGGAGGATATATGCTCAGCTGTTCAGAGTTTCTATGCCACAGGATAGATGCTTAGTTATTGAAAGCACACTCTCATTACTCTTGTGCCTAAGTGTCAGAACCCCACTTCCCTCTCTCATTTCAGGCTAATTAGTTTATGTGCAGTCTTTTACGAGATCATTTCAAAAATTATTGTTTTGAGATTGAGGAACTGTCTGTCTATCTGTATTTCTGAAACCCAATCAACCTTTCTTCCTGGCAGGTAACTGCTTGACATTGTAGTTATTAACCATGAGGCATTTCAATTCCTCAATAGACACAGAGATGGGAAAAATTGTTTTATGAATTTGAAACTGGATATGGTTAAAGATTTTGACAGGCTTGAATGCAAATGTATACAACTTACTATGGTGAAAATGGGTTTCCACCCAACTTTTGTGAAGTGGGTTATGGCTTGTATAGCTTCCCTCTCATTCTCTTTCAATCTTAAAGATCAGGCTTCTGGCTATATCACAACCACTAGAGGAGTTAGATAAGGGGATCCTCTATTCCCCCCATCTCTTTATTTTAATATCTGAATTGTTGTCTGCAAGGCTATTATCTGAGGCTTCAAGGGGTGGTTTTAAAGGGCTAAAGCTAGCTAGAGGAGGACCTGATATCTCACATCTCTTATTTGTTGATTACCTGTTGATATTCTGTAAAGCTGAGGCTTTCCAAGCTCAGAAACTCCTACACATCATGCATGATTACTATCTTTTTACTGAGCAACAGGTAAACCTGGAGAAGTCCTCCATCCTTTTTAGTAAGAACACCTCTCAGGAGGTTCAACATCTGTGTTGCCAGGCTCTGAATGGTATTAAGCTGCATTCCTCTTCTAGATATTTAGGCTTGCCATTGGGTATTGGAAGATTTATAAGAGATGCTTTTTCTTTTGTCCTCTCTGTGGTAAAAAACAGAATCCCCAAACGGGGCCCCGTAGAAAGTAAAGGCAGCTAGTGAAAGCATGGGTCAGGGGTTACTCTCTACCCCAAGTAAACACGAGTGGTGCGATTGGTAGGTCCTAATTATATGGTTGAGGAAGAACTCCAGCGAAAGAAATACGTATTCTTTCTTTCTTGTTGCCATGGCAGCTGGAAGAATAATTGGCTTTCCCCTGCTGGGAAAGAGGTTTTAATTAAATCTATTGTCGATGCTCTCCCTGTGTTTACAATGTCTTTCTTTATGCTTCCTGAAAGTCTTTGCATAGATATTGCTAGTGTTTGTGTAGGTTTCTGGTGGAGCAAGGGGGAGAATTTCAACAGAGGGATTCATTGGAAAGCCTGGGATCATATGGCTCTTCTAAAATCCTATGGTGGTTTGGGCTTCCAGGACATCCAACTTTTTAATGAAGCTATTATTGCTAAGTAAATTTGGAGACTTCTGATCCAGCATGATCTTCTGGTAAATAGGGTTCTCAAATCTAGATATTTCCCATAATCCACTGTTTTTGTTGCTCATAGGAAAAATAATGCCTCATGGCTCTGGCATAGTTGGCTGAAAGTAAAAGATTGTTGTGGAAAATGGATGTTGTGTGTGATTAAGAATGGCAAGGGGACGAGAACTGTAGATAATTTATGGGTCCCTGATTTGAATGGTAGAAGACTATATTTTATACCTGATGCTGGATCAAATTTGGTGTGGGTTAAAGATCTTCTTTTGCCTGATGGCAGTGTTTGGAATGTCAACATCCTTAGGCAAAGTTTCTCAACAGAAGATTGTTCAACTGTCATGAAAATCTTTACCATTAACCCTGAATTTGATGATAAATGGAAAGGGAAACTTTTCAATATCCAATGTCTACTCTCATCTCACTCAACAGAAGCTTCTCAGCATGAACAAAGCTCAAAGCAGTGGGTCTTTCATCCAGGATCAGCAGGTGAGGACCAGATTTTAGAGGCTCAAAGTTAAAGGTAAGATAAAACACTTTCTATGGAAATATGTATTTGGCATTTTTCCTGTTGGAGTGAACTTGCTTAAAAAAGGCCTTGATATTGATCATATCTGTGAAGTACGTAGGCTAGTCAAGGAAACAATAGAACATGTTATGTTCTTCTGTTCTGAGGAAAAGCTAGTCTGGAAGTTGGCCACAATGCAATGGGAAGGACCTAAAGGTTTAGACACAGTGAAAGATTGGTGGTGGCACATTTCAGCTCTTAACCATGGGGATATTTCTGAACCCAGAATTCAACTTTCCACTTATATACTATGGTGGCTTTGGAAATCCCGAATCTCATGGTGTTTGAGGGTACTTCAAAGCCGACCCACCTCATAGTTATTGCTGCATGCTTGGAGAAAAGGAGACAATAATGAAGATGGTCTAAGTGGAAGTCTTGTTATTGCTTTCCTTCTCTTTTTTTCTCTTGTATTGATTCTGGGGACTTAAGTTTCAGTTGTTGTTATAACTGCTTGAGTCCCCTTTGGTTTGTAGTTGTATTTTTAGGCCACCTGTGAGTGGTTCTCTCTTATTTCGGCTTCATATGGTCTGCATTGTATTCAAACTTTGGTTGGGTATTTTAACGAGAATTGCTATNAAAAAATAAAAAAAAATCAGTGTGGTAGTATGACAAGTGGTGATATTATGTAATTGGGATATCAATCAAGTATTTTGAACAACCATACTTATTCATCTATTCTATATCTATCTATCTATATAATAAAAGTAGAAATTATATAAAAAATTACACAAACTAAAATGTTCTTATGTTTATAATATTTTTAATGGCAAACTGTAGTAACAATTAAGTATGTCAATGAATTATAATCTCAATTATCTCGATAAAGTAGAATTCTAACAAAAACAAAACACTTTCAATAAAATATAAACAAAAATATTGCTATTACACAAAAGTCTAGCAAAATGGCCACGCTCTAAATTTCTTTCGATCTGCCCTGATTTCTCGAAAATTCTCCTCTACCAAATTCCGTAGCGAATTGTACATTTGAAGTTTGCTTAGAGTATGAGGATCTCTGGTGAAGTACATTAAGGACTCTATATATATCCTTCTCCCAGATTGAAGTCCTCCAAGTGTTCGATAGATTGTCCGAAAGGCTGCATCTAGACATGATTTGTGAATGGCCTCTCGGTGACCTGGAGTACCTCCTCAGCCTCCCGGCGACTCAAATTTCCACCAGATAGCAGCCTCTCTTCCTACCGACGACCAAACTTCCGATGGTCTGAGTGATTTTGCACCTAACGTCGTCCCCAGACTCACCGAATTGACAAAAGCGATTCCCAGAGGTTCTCCCCATTCTCTTTCGTATGATGAACCAACCCCACTGGAAGTCGTCGGATTTTCTTCAGTCACTGTCGCCAGTTTCTCTACCTCAAGTTAGAAGATGGCGGCGCAACATCCTCAACTAGCTCTACGTGCCTAATCCTTAGGCTCCTCTCCTTTGGTCCACTTAGTTCTTCTATTCTCCCTACTTCTATTGGAACTTTTAAATTCAAGCCCATTTGTCCCCTACTTTTTTGGATCCAGTTCAACTGGACCCTTTTTCTCATTTGGCCCTTCCCAGCCCTCCCAAATCAAAACCAAGCCCGTCCACACTTCACCCTCCCCATTCCATCTAAAGCCCACCCCACTCTGCCAGCCCGAACCAAACCCAAATCCCCCAGTTTGACCCGAACGCGACCCAGCCACGTTCAATCACAATCTGGTCCCCAAGATCGACCCGAACTTGGCCCGACCCTTATCCGGCCCTTCCTCCTCTTCAACCCAATTTTTTAGCCTCAGACCGGCAAAATCCTTCCTCTCGACTGCCCAAAACACCGACCCACCCGAACCCTTCTCTTATAGCTCTCTTTCTCTCTCTGGCAGCATTTCGGAGGTTCTATTCTCCCCTCCCCCCAAAAGTCTCAAAAATGTCGGAGGATATAAAATATGCCTCATAGGCAAATTCTCCTTCAGCAACCCCTCTAATGAGGCTATCCGGTCAAACCTTGCTCTTTTGGGTTTTATCGAATGCAAAATATTCTTTCTCCAAGCCAATCACATCTTAATCAAAATCAAAGACCCAAACACGTTCACCAAACTTTGGTTGAAACATGAAATCTCGATTCTAGAATTTCCAATGCGCATTTTTAAATGGTCAGCCGATTTCGATTTCAAAAAAGAACAACCGATTGTTCCCGTTTGGATCAAAGACCCTGCTCTTCCCCTTCATTGCTTTTATTTAAAGGCCCTTCGAGTAATTGCCAAAATCTATGGAACCTTATTAAAAGTTAATGTTTCCACACTGAAAAAAAAAACATGTCTCTACTATGCACGCTTTTCCTTAGCCCTCAATCTTGAATCCCCTCATCTCGCTTGCATTGCCATTTCTTGCGAAAACAAAAGTGTCGAACTCACCGTCGAGTTCGAACGCTTACCAAAATACTCTTCATATTGCTCTCATGTGGGACATGATGAATCAACATGTTATATAAAAAATCCAACCATCCGTCCCCTCAAAATAAACAAGGGGAAAAAACCCAACATTGATCACTCTCCACCCATTTCTCCCGCTAGCCCACCCAACCCCTCCTCCCTTGCCCCAGACCCGACTCCCATGGAAACGACACCCCCACATGGCCAGGCACCACCCAAACCCTACTTAATAGGCCCGGTTCCTTTCTCGTTCCAAATTCTTACACCCTCTACTTTCCCTGAGGCGGGTCCAGGCAATGTGCCTGACTCTTTGGAGCCAGGTTCACCTAAGCCCAACTCATTGATCGTTGAGTCTTGCTCTAATTCTGAACCGTACTTTCCATGCCACTCTCTTCCCTTTTTTAAATTTGAAGATGACTTCATTGTCGCCCCAAACTACTGTAAGAAACTAATCATTGCTTTCCCCTTTCCCTCTGTCCCAACCCTTATTTCTCTTGCTTTTGTGTTGTTGTTCTTTTCGTGCCGTAGACTTGATTCTATTGAATATCTATGTTCGTTTCTTGACTTTTTCATTTCACTTGTTTGGGGTACGCAATGAGGGAATTGCGTTGTTTTAAGTGTGAGGGAGGGTTTTGGGAATCTCGCATGTTTATGTAGTTGATTGGTCTAGTTTTAAGGTGTTTTATCTTAGTATTTTATGCGTCTTGGACCGGTTTTTGTCTTAGTTTTTGTGTGTTTGTGTCGTTTCTCCCTCACGAAGTTTAATGATTGTACAAAGTTAAAATGACTAAGTGGTGAGTTAAGATTGTTTAATGGTTTCATTTTTAGTTTTCGTGTCTTATGTGCTTGGTCAATTGGACGGTTTCCTAAAATTAAATGACGATTTGTTGACATTGGAACCCGCATTTGAGTTCACGGAATTGTTTTGTCTCTTGTTTGTTGTCGATTGGTTGTCTTGAAAAATTCTTGCCTTGTGTTTGATTGATGTAATCGTGGTATATTTAGACGCTTGTGGTATGTCTTGATAATTAATGATGTTCATGTTATTGTATTCTTGATGTATCCTTGTGTTGCCTATCCCTTCGCAAAATAAATAAATAAACAAAAGAAAAAAAGAAAGAGAATTAAATGTGAATTTGCTAGGAAGTACGGATTAGGCTCCTGTTTTTTTGATCTATTTCGTAGAATGAGATAATGAGTCCGGGAACCGGTCTAGGAGACTCGAGGAAACCCCTCGAAGGTGCACCTAGATAATAATCGTCCGGAAACCTCGTTTAGAAAAAAGAAGCCCACGGAAAAAAAATTGAATAAAAATGAGCTTGTGAGAGTTGAAAGGATTAGACTCCGCTTGACCCGATTAGTCTTCTTCTAGATGGATTGGGTCACTGAGTACGGGAAACCAGCCTAGGAGACTTGGGGACGAACCCCCGAGGTTAAACTTAGGCAATAATCGTCCTAACGACTGTCATTTGGAAAAAGTGACTCATGTAAAATGAAAAAAAAAATAATAAAAAGGGAGTTGGCCTTGGTGGTTTTTCGTTTATCGTTTCGTACATCTCGAGTAGACCTTATATAGCTTTTTGCAAGTGTAATTAGAAAAAGAAGTTTGAATCGAGTAAATCATGTGTAGAGCAACTTGAGAAGAGTTGTTGTTTTGTATGGATTCATTTATAGGGGACCATGTTTTCGAATTTGAGTTTAGTTTTATGGATAACCGGATGAAGAAGAGAATTACATTTCGCATGATCATTATTTTTGAACTTTTCAATTTTTCTTCTCGAGCTACTTGTTGTTGTTGTTTTTTTTTTCTTTTTGTTTTTTTTTTCTTTAGGGCAAGCAAAG